CACCAACCTCCTCCAGGCCAGCCCTGCTCCTCTCCCTCCCTCCACCCCCATCTGAGATCAAGTGTGTTCAGTATTTTTTTTTTTTTAAATCATCTGGTAACCTTACTTGGCAGTCAGAAGTTCAGGGACACCTAAAGCATGGTATTGTCTTGGCTAATAACCATTGATGACCTATCTTCTATGAATTTTCTAATTATAATGTAAACCCAATTATACTTTTGGCCTTTACAAAATTGTGTGGCAATGATTTCCACAGATTGATTGTTTTGTGTGAACTACTTGCTTTTAGTTTTTGTTAAACCTACTTCCTAGTAACTTCATCTGGTGATTCCCCTGGTTCTTCCGTTATGTGATGGTGTAAATAACATTTCCTTGTTCACTTTCTCCACACCAGTCATGATTTTATATACCTCTCTCTTACCTCCTGTTAATTATCTCCTCTAAGATGAACAGTTTGCATCTTTTTAATCTTTCTTAGTAAGGAAGCTGTTCCATGCTCCTTCATAATTTTCATTGCCCTTCCCCTTTTCCAATTCTGATATCATTTTTACATGGGTGAACCAAACTGCATACAGAGTGCAAGGGGTTGATGTATCATGGTTTTATGTAATGGCCTTTGCTAAAAGTTCTTAATTTTCTGTTAGGAATATGAGAAGAATTTAAAACACAGGTTCTTCCTAAAGTAGAGGAAATAGTCTCATTTGTATAGCTTATTTAAGGGTTACACGTGCTCTTTTCATAACACCTTCCTGAAGAACAACATATTGACTTGCTTTTCAACCTGTAAAAAGAGCACTGTTGCCATATTAATGAAGAAATCTTCTGTTCAAGATTAAACCTGAATTCTAATTTGATTTGCATAAAATGCAATGACTACTTTTGTATAGAAAATTGTTCAAATTAAATCAGAACTTTGTTTCCCATAGTTGGGGGAGGAGAAGGGAGAGAAAGGAAACATGCACTGAGAAAAAAGCACGTTAGCTTCCACTCTATTGTCCTTTAGTTTGGTCCTATGAGAGTTGCATATTGATGTAAAATTTCTAGTTCCTATTGTGTGGTCCCATCTGCCACCTCAGAACATGAATTGTTGTGCAGATGCTGCAACTTACTTTTCTAATAGAAAGATGACCTTGGGTTAAGATTGCATTATTTTATTGTACAGATTCCATAGTAGCTACTGCACTTTAAACTCCTGGTATTGGCTGTTGCAGAGTTGGTCGTATGGCCTCTATTGTAAGTTTTCGGTTATGTGCTTGATTACATAGTGAGATGACAAAGTAGAATTCCTGGGAAGGAGTGTTCCTGACATTCCAGATTTGACTTGCATTAGGGATATTAGAATCCTGTTACATCAACCTTTTATTTTCATGTAGGTGTTAAAGAGACTTGCACTGACTCTACAGATCCTTCATCAACAAGTGAACTACCAGACTACTTTGTGTAAGTAAAATTATGTTTAAGATTGACAAAATTCATGCTATGCTCTAATAGGCAGTTCAAAAAATCAGCTGTGAAAGGTCTTATGTAATTAGAAAATGGAAGAGTTATCAAAATGTAACGTTTTAAAAGGCCCTGTCAGAGCTACTCGTTCTAAAAGTAGTGTGCCACACTGAACATGTGTATGCATATTGAACCTTTTTCTGAGCTTGTTCATTCAGTTCTTGAACAAGAGCCATTAAAAATCTAAGAATTACTTTTTGAAGTCCTGTGAACTCTTACGCACATAGGGTGGTAACTATTGTCTCTTGAACAGTATCATTAAAGTCAATGGGACTACAGGCAGTCCCCAAGTTACGCGGATCCGACTTATGTCGGATCCGCAGTTACGAACAGGGCTTTTCTCGCCCCGGAGGACGGGAGCGGCGGGACGCCCAGATGAGCGGCGGTCCCGCCGCCCACATTCTCCGGGGCGAGAAAAGCTGCTCCCCGTCTACCTGGTCTGCTGGTCAGACCAGGTAGATGGGGAGCAAAGCCTCGGAGGCTGCCCGCAGCGGGACAGCCCAGGCGCGCCGCAGCTGTCCCGCTGCGGGCGTCCTCCGCGGCTTTGCTCCGTGTCTCCCTGGTCTGCTTGGGGGGCGGGGGGGCGCAGCTAGTGCCCCCTCCCCCGCAGCAGACCAGGCTTTTCTGCCCACGACGCCTGGGGTAGAGCAGCTGGGGCGTTGCTGGGTTGGTCCCGCAGCGCCGCTCCTCGGCGCTACTGGACCAACCGGGTAGCACCCCAGCTGCTCTGCCCCAGGTGTCCCCAAGTCAGCTGCT